CCCGGTCCTCCCGGACTCCCAACCTGACCTTATCCTTTTAGATTCCCCACCGCCTTATGCCACACCTCAGCCTCTGCCATTGCATCCGCAGCCTCCGGCAGCCCGAGCGCCGCAGCAGAACGATCGGTCGCCGCCCCCGGTGCCCGATCTGCCTGCTCCTACGCCGCCCGCTCCTGTTCCCCTGCCGATACCCCCGTCGGTGGCCTCTCCGGATTCTACCCTTGAGGGTCCCTCGACACGCCAGACGGTGGACCGGCCCAGCGGACCAGGAGCCGGTGCCCGCTGGATGAGGGGCCTGAGGCGACAGCTCTGCCGCTACGCCCTTATGGGCCTACGGTGGATGACGGGGACGGGGGAGCCATGCCGGCCCTCCAGTACTGGCCGTTTTCCTCTTCTGATCTGTATAATTGGAAAAATAATAACCCTCCTTTTTCTGAGGACCCCACTCGGTTAACAGGTCTCGTGGAGTCCCTTATGTTTTCTCACCAGCCAACCTGGGATGATTGCCAACAACTTCTGGGGACCCTCTTCACCACAGAGGAAAGAGACCGAATCCTGTTAGAAGCTCGGAAGAACGTTCCAGGGCAAGATGGGCGTCCGACACAGCTACAGAATATTATTGATGACACCTTCCCATTGGCTCGCCCCAACTGGGACCCTAATACTCCGGAAGGTAGGGAGCATCTGTCCTCCTATCGCCAGGCTCTCGTGGCGGGTCTCCGGGCAGCTTCTAGGCGGCCCACCAATTTGGCTAAGGTAAGGGAGGTCGTCCAGGGTCCTGCTGAATCTCCTGCAGTCTTCTTAGAAAGGTTAATGGAAGCCTATCGGAGGTTTACCCCCTTCGACCCGCGGTCGGAGGACCAGAGGGCTTCAGTGGCCATGGCTTTCATTGGCCAATCCGCTGCAGATATAAGGCGGAAGCTGCAACGCCTTGATGGGCTGCAGGACCTCACTCTTAGGGACTTAGTTAAAGAAGCGGATAAAGTTTTTCATAAGAGGGAGACGGAGGAGGAGAAAGAGGAACGTAAGGAAAAGGAGAGAGAAGAAAGAGAGAATGTGAGGGATAAAAAGAGAGACAAAGCATTAACTAAAATCTTGGCCACAGTAGTTGAAAATAGCAAAGGAAAAGGCAGAAAGGGAGGTAATACTAGGCCACGGCCGCGATCCAGCCTGGACCCAGATCAGTGTGCATACTGTAAGGAGTACGGGCACTGGAAGAAGGATTGTCCTAAGCTCAAGAAGGGCTCGCAGGCCAGACAGCCTACCCTGCTGGCCCTGGATGAAGACTAGGGGCGACGGGGCTCGGATCCCCTCCCCGAGCTCAGGGTAAAGTTTGATGTGGAGGGGACCCCTATTGACTTTGAGGTGGACACCGGAGCTGTTTACTCGGCATTACAAGCACCATTGGGGCCGCTGTCAACCAAGCGGTCCCTGGTGAGGGGTGCCAACGGCAGCCGATACCGAGCCTGGACCACCAAAAGAACTTTAGACTTGGGAAGAGGAAAGGTCCATCATTCCTTTCTGGTGATACCTGACTGTCCAGCTCCCCTTATGGGGAGAGATCTGCTTACCAAACTAGAAGCCCGCATCACCTTCAACTCCGAAGGGCCCAGAGTGGAGTTCTTTGAGCCCCCTAGTCCAGCAACCAGTAGTAACGGCTCTGACAATGTCTGTGGAGGACGAATACCGCCTGTATGACTCCCCGGTAAAGGAACAGGATGTAACAAGGTGGCTTAACGAGTATCCAGATGCCTGGGCGGAGAAGGCTGGATTAGGGCGGCGAGAAATCAACCTCCGGTAGTGGTTGCCCTTAAAAACCTCTGCAGTTCCAATTCGGGTGAGGCAGTATCCCATGAGTAAGGAAGCTCGGGAAGGAATCAGACCACATATTCTAAAGCTACTGCAGGGAGGCGTCCTGAAGCCCTGCCAGTCAGCTTGGAATACACCACTCCTTCCCGTCAAGAAACCGGGAACCGGGGATTACCGACCGGTGCAAGATCTACGAGAGGTTAATAGTAGGGTACAGGACATACACCCCACCGTCCCTAACCCTTACAATCTTCTGAGTTCCCTTCCACCTGACAGGAGCTGGTACACTGTATTGGATTTAAAAGATGCCTTTTTCTGCCTGCGACTCTGTGAAAGCAGCCAACCACTATTCGCCTTTGAATGGGCCGACCCGGAGGCTGGTCTTGCAGGGCAACTGACTTGGACCAGGCTGCCCCAAGGATTTAAGAACTCCCCCACGATCTTCGATGAGGCCCTCCATCAGGACCTGGGCGCCTTCAGAACCCAGCACCCGGAGGTAACCCTGCTCCAGTATGTAGACGACCTGCTGCTGGCCGCGCCGTCTCAGGAAGAATGTGAGTACGGGACTCGCTCCTTACTGCAGGAGCTCGCTCGGCTTGGGTATAGGACATCAGCTAAGAAGGCCCAACTATGCAGACAGGAAGTTACTTTCCTGGGGTATACTCTCCGGGGAGGAAAACGCTGGTTAACTGAGGCGCGGAAAAAGACTGTTGTGCAGATCCCCACACCAACTTCCAGAAAACAACTCCGAGAGTTCTTGGGGACAGCTGGGTTCTGTAGACTGTGGATTCCGGGGTTTGCCTCGCTAGCTGCCCCGTTGTACCCGCTCCTGAAAGGGGACGCGGAATTCACTTGGGGGACAGAACAGCAGCAAGCCTTTGATGATATAAAAAAAGCCCTGCTATCAGCCCCGGCATTGGCGCTTCCCGATGTTGAAAAGCCCTTCACCCTTTACATGGAGGAGCGAGGGGGAGTGGCTCGAGGGGTTTTAACTCAGACCTTGGGACCCTGGAAAAGGCCTGTAGCCTATCTATCCAAACGTTTGGACTCAGTAGCTGGGGGCTGGCCCCGCTGTCTAAAAGCTATAGCTGCCGCTGCCTTACTAGCCAAAGATGCGGACAAACTGACTCTGGGACAAAAACTAACTATTGTGGCCCCTCATATGCTGGAAAGTATCATCAGGCAGCCCCCAGACCGGTGGCTCTCGAATGCTCGCATCACGCACTATCAGAGCATTCTATTAGACAAGGACCGGGTGACCTTCGGACCTCCAATAGCTTTAAACCCTGCCACTCTACTTCCGGATGAGGCTGCAGACCCGGTCCTACACTCCTGCCAGGATATCCTGGCAGAAGAAGCAGGAATCCGTCGTGACCTAAAGGACTTTCCACTGCCTGATTCGGAGGTGACCTGGTTCACGGACGGCAGCAGCTTCCTGCAGGATGGTAAGAGATGCGCGGGGGCGGCGGTAGTTAGCAAGGACAAGGTTGTATGGTCTGCAGGGCTACCAGAAGGGACCTCCGCCCAGAAAGCGGAACTAATTGCTCTCACAAAAGCCTTAGAACTGGCTGAGGGGAAGAAGGCTACCATTTATACGGATAGCCGTTATGCCTTCGCCACGGCTCATGTACATGGGGCCATATACCAGCAAAGGGGACTGTTAACCTCAGCTGGAAAGGACATCAAACACAAGGCCGAAATCCTTAGACTACTAGCAGCTGTCCTACTGCCTACCAAATTAGCTATTGTTCATTGCCCCGGCCATCAAAAGGGGTCGGACCCTGTAGCCACAGGAAATCGGCGGGCAGACGAAGAAGCAAAGGCAGCAGCTCTTAAAGGGGCAGAGGTTCTAGCACTAGTGAACAAGGCTCCTGAGGAGGACACGACGCCCGAAACTACAGGGAGTAAGGAACAACAGGCGGCCTCCTACTTACAGCATGTACATCAGCTCACTCATTTGGGGGCCAGGAAGATGCAAGAGCTGCTGAGAGAGCAACCTTTCTCCCTGACTGCTATGGAAAACAAAAGGTTGACAGAACAAGTAGCTAAGAATTGTCGGGCCTGCCAGGTTGTAAATGCACTTCCATCCCAAACATCAGAGGGAAAGAGGCTCAGAGGAAATAGGCCTGGCCAATTTTGGGAGGTGGACTTTACTGAAATCAAACCAGCTAAATATGGGTTAAGATTTCTCTTAGTTTTTGTAGATACTTTCTCAGGATGGGTAGAGGCCTACCCCACCCGAAGGGAAACAGCGCAAGTGGTGGTTAAGAAAATTATGGAAGAACTTTTTCCTCGATTCGGACTGCCCCAGGTAATTGGGTCAGATAATGGACCTGCTTTCGTGGCCCAGGTAAGTCAGGGAGTGGCCAAGGTATTGGGGATCAATTGGAAATTACATTGTGCTTATCGTCCCCAAAGTTCAGGGCAGGTAGAAAGAATGAATAGAACCATTAAGGAGACCTTAACTAAATTGACCTTAGAGACTGGCGTTCAGGATTGGACCTTGCTCCTACCTTATGCCCTGTTCCGTGCTCGGAACACTCCCTCACCCTCTATGTATAATCTCACCCCTTTTGAAATTCTGTATGGAACCCCACCTCCGGTCTCGAAAGTGTCACCCACCATAGACAAAGACTCATTACCCCATACTCCTTTACTTGCCAGGTTAAAGGCTCTAGAGGGGATCCAGCAATTTGTTTGGAAACCATTGGCCTCTGCTTATCAGCCAGGAGACCTTAAAGTGCCCCACTCCTTCCACGTTGGAGACTCGGTGTTCGTGAGGAGGCACCAGACCCACAGCTTGGAGCCCCGGTGGAAAGGACCTTACGTGGTGCTGCTGACCACTCCGACTGCGGTTAAAGTAGATGGCATCACTCCTTGGATCCATGCCTCTCATCTCAAGCCTGCACCGCCACCGGGACCTGAATGGACAATGGAAAGGACTGATAACCCTCTTAAGCTTCGCTTTTGTCGTAAGCCCCTGCCTGGCCAAACCGATAGCAAGTAACCCCCATGCCCCTGTAACCTTAACCTGGGAAGTCATCAACCCAACAGGGCAAGTAGTCTGGTCAACCAAAGGTGTCCATACTCCGGGTAGCTGGTGGCCTACCTTATCTCCAGACATATGTCAGCTAGCCCTCGGCCTAGACACATGGGACATACCAGAGGTAGAGGACCCCAACAACATCCCGATGGCACCTAGTAGACCCTCCGCTGGTCTCGACTACGGGGGCTACGCCAGTAGCGATTCCAATGCAGGGTGCCAGAATTATGGCAAACGCACCCTCCTAGGCCGCCTCACCTTTTATGTTTGCCCAAAAGATGATCGTAGTCGGACTAAGATACGGAGCTGTGGTGGGCCTGAATCCCTTTATTGCGCAGCATGGGGGTGTGAAACCACGGGGTCCGCTTATTGGATCACCCGATCCAGTTCAGACTGGATAACTGTCCACCAGAGCAGCGACAGGGAAGATTGTCACTCCAAAGTATTATGTAATGGGTTAAATATCACCCTAACAGAACGGGGCAGAAGGGCGGACAAGCTTTCCCACTGGTATAAGGGAAGGACATGGGGGCTTAGGTTTTATGCCTCCGGATATGACTTTGGTCTCTGGTTTACTATCAAACTACGACAAGAGACCACACCAGTCCCAGTGGGGCCCAATCCAGCTGTCCGCCCGGCTCCCCACTCCGGCCCCATTACTTGGCGGGGCCAATAACAGAATCTCCCCAAGTTACCAACCCTGTTCGGACTCCGAGTAGTGGGGCTCCTACCCTGAGAAGCCCAAGTGGTAGGTTCCCCCTGTTCAACCTCATAAGTGGGGCCTACACTGCACTTAATGCAACCCAAAGCAATTTGACTCGATCCTGCTGGCTCTGCCTCTCAGCAACACCCCCTTTTTATGAGGGGACTGCAGTAAACGGAACTTATACCCTGACCACAAGCTCTGCCTGCAGTTGGGGAGGAGATCACAAGCTAACCCTCCCTGAGGTTTCTGGCAGAGGACTCTGCATAGGTACCCCCCCACTGAGCCACCAGCAACTCTGTGCCAGAACTGTCTTTATAAACTCCACAGCTGGGTATCTGGCTCCAGAGGCAGGAACTTGGTGGGCCTGCAGTACCGGTCTGACCCCTTGTATTTCCACTGCTGTATTCAATAGTTCTCATCACTTTTGTGTTATGGTCCGTTTGTTTCCTCGAGTACTATATCATGATGCAAGTTCGTTCGAGGAGATGGTGGGGGAGCGTGTCACCCGCTTCAAGAGGGAACCAGTGTCTCTCACTATAGCAGTTCTCCTAGGGATTGGAACAACAGTGGGAATAGGAACTGGAGCTACCGCCCTTGCCCAGGGGTCTAGCCAAATGCTTCAGCTCCAGGCCGCTATAGATCAGGATTTAAAAGAGCTAGAAGCTTCTATAACTGCTCTTAAGGATTCCCTCACATCACTCTCGGAAGTGGTTCTGCAGAACAGACGGGGCCTAGATCTCCTGTTCAAGCAGGATGGTGGGCTCTGTGCGGCCCTCAGGGAAGAGTGCTGTTTTTATGCCGATCATACAGGGGTAGTAGAGGAGTCTATGACCAAACTTCGGCAGCGACTGGCCGAAAGACAGAAGGAGAGAGAGGCACAGAAAAGCTGGTTTGAATCTTGGTTCACACAGTCACCATGGTTAACAACCCTGTTGTCAGCAATCGCAGGACCGCTCATAATCCTGCTGTTAATTCTCTCCATAGGACCCTGTATTATAAATAGAATCATAGGATTTATACAGCAGAGGATAGGGGATATTAAGCTCCTGATTATCAGGCAACAGTACTCAGCCCTGGCTGAACCTGAGGGTCTCTAAGATTAGAAACCGCCCACAGGAAAAGGGGGGAATGACAGGCACCAGAGTAATCAGGAAGGTCAGAAGGGGCAGATGGAACAAACAACTTTTATGGGAGACAGCTGCAGCCAGGGAGGTTACGGGAGATGGCTGCAGCCAGGGAGAGAACTGAAGAACAAACAACCTGATAAGAAACCAGACAGGCATTAACTCACACGGCGCCAGATCTCCAGTAGAATGACCCCAGATTACTTCCCCCGTTTGCTAGAAAGTATATAATGTGTGCTTAAACTCTTGGTCGGGGCTCACAGCCGCTGCTCTGTGCTCAGAGTAAGCTGCGAGTCCCAGCATGCTGGAAACAATAAACCCTTTGCTTTTTGCATGAGAAGCGTCTCTTGGTTCTTTGTGACAGCGGCTTGCTTCCAGGGCGTTACATGCCCGCGGGCCGGATCCGGCCCGTTTGAAATGAATAAAACTAAAAAAAAAAAAAGACCGTACCCTTTTATGTAATGATGTTTACTTTGAATTTATATTAGTTCACACAAACACTCCATCCATGCTTTTGTTCCAGCCCTCCGGTCCAGTTTAAGAACCCATTGTGGCCCTCGACTCAAAAAAGTTTGCCCACCCCTGTTCTAGGTGGATCTTCCTGTGCCTGGCAAGCTGAGCCTTTATTTTATAGCCAGAGGTAAACAAGGTAGTGGTCACCATAGTTACAATGTTCTTGTGAGTTTCACTTGTTTTGGCAGCACTTGCTGCACCTCCCACAGCTCATTAGCTACCTAGGAAGGATCTAGGGAGCGTCATAAGGTCAAGCCTAATTATGCTAAGAGGACTGTGCCATCTAAGCTGGGACTTGTTTGTGGCTTTGCCAACAGGTCAGTCCGAGGCTTAACCCTATAGCCGCGCCCTACAGTGAAGACCCTGACTGGCAAGGCCATCACCCTTAAGGTTGAGCTCAGTGATGCCATTGAGAAAGTCAAAGCTAAAATCCAAGAAAAGAAGGGCATCCCGCCTAACCAGCAGCATATGATTTTTGCTGGCAAATAGCTAGAGGATGGTCACACTCTGACTACATTATTAGAAAAATACCACCTTGTACTTGATGCTTCATCTGTGGGATGGCATCATCGAACCCTCCTTCCACCAGCTTGCCCAGAAGTACAAATGCAACAAGATGATCTACCAAATGTGTTACAGTCAGTTGTATCCTCACGCTATCAACTGCCACAAAAATAAGTGCAGCCACCAAAACAACCTGTGCCCCAAGAAGGTTAAATAAGGCCCCTCCACCAGCTCCTTGACTGCAGGGAAGTCTTCTGCCTGAATCCCAGAACCCTGGGGCCTCAATAAAGTTACCCTTTCATTGACTAGAACAGTAAAGAAAATCAAAAGAAGAGATGGGGAACATAAAAATGGAGATGGGAAAAAAAAAGAATCAATCAAATGAAGAATACAATAACTGAAATGAAGAATACATTAGAGTGAGTCTAGAGTAGATTACATGAAGCAGAGGATCAAATCAGAAATTTGGAAGACAAGGTAGCTGAAAATTGGAACAGCAATAAAGATATAGATTTTTTTAAATGCTGATAGCTTAAGAGACTTCTGGGACAACATCAAGCATAACAACATTCAGATCACAGTGGTACCAGAAGAAGAAGAAAGTATAAGGGATTAAAACCTATTTACAGAGGTACGAATGAAAAATTT